GTGTAAAATATAAATATCGATATGCACGCATACAATTAAATACATGAATCTATAAATAATGTTTATAATTACTATAAGAATTTCTTTTATAATAATTTTTATAAGAATTATAATCATGATTTATTGAATAATACTTTAATAACAATTATAATTCGATTTTTGTCAGAATGCGGGATGCCGAAAATCAACAAAAAGTGTTAGAGATCCAATTAAAAGTAGATAATATACCCGACATAATAAACCCTGCACGAAGATTCATACATAGTGGCGATCTTTACAAAGTTACTCCTCTATTTACATCAACAAAGCCTTACTTTTCATCCACCCAAGAAATACGAACACATTTCCTATTTAACGATCTATTACTATTTTGTTCGAATTCTCAAGGAGGAAAACTTACTTACAGAGGTCAAATCGATTTAAATAATTGTGCGATTATGGATATTGATGATGACGCGTCAGATAAGCCATTTTGTTTTCAATTAATTACAAAAACGGCAAAAGGTGACTTAAGGCATACAGTCCGCACAAATACTGGTGAAGAGAAAGCTGAATGGATGGGGAAAATCGAATATGCGATATCATCTTTGCAAAATGGAATAAGAATTTCTTATAATATTAGTGGAAAACGTACGTCAATTTTATTTAATCTTTGAAATTTCCGTTCCTTTAATTTTATAATTTTCTTTAATTTTTTTTTAATTATTTTTATTAGGCCTTATTCCAATTCGTCAACGACCAATACTCGACAAAGCTCCTTCTCAACTTGGCGTAACCTCGATAACAAACCGACGTCCATCACACGCGTCAGATATGTATATATCATCAGACTTACTAAATATTGAGACACAAGGTGTAACGAACTTAGATCCGAAAAACGCTAAAGGAACTTCTAAACACCTTAAACCACGATTAACGTTAAAAACATTAAGACCACAGATGTCACATGATACGTTGAAACCAAATTCGTATTCGTGATATTTTTTGTGTATATTATTTAAAATCATTTTTCGGCATAGATGGTTGTTACATATTTAATAGATTTGTTATGTGTCATAATTATTATAGATTCATGTATTTAATTGTATGCGTGCATATCGATATTTATATTTTACACACTTTAACACTTGTATTTATTCATCTTATTATTTTTGCATGCATCCAATATGTGTGTACGTACATCAGAATAAATGCATTTCAAATCCATTACTTGCAAAAACGAAATTTAGGTTAAAAAAATTTTTTATTTTTATTAAAATAAATTTATCTGTATTAAAAATTGATTTATCAAATTTAATTTAATATATAATAACGTTAAATAAATTTATCTTAATAAAAATTGATTTATCAAATTTAATTTAATATACGTATATCATATCGATATATCATTATATAACGTTAAATAAATTTAACTATATTTATTAAAAACTTGTTTTATCAAACTTAATTATCATAACGATAATAATTAGTCTTAAATTTCTCTGACTCATAAGACTCATGTTAACCAATCTAATTAGTTAATCGTAATCTCAAGTCGATCAAGTCTTGTTTTTCATAAATATTGATGTTGTTATCGTTATTATTATTATTATTATTATTATATGCATAATTAAAAAATGAAAGTGACGAATCGTTATCAGGATTAAATCAAATTATTTGGATTTACTAAGCATTATACACAAAGCATAAAAATTTACTTTGTATAAAATGAATACATTTAACTAACAAACCCATCGTAAACCGGTTTTTATTTTTTTTCCTTTGTTATAATATTACTTTTCACATTTGATTAACTCATTTAGATAATAATAACTTTTTGTTAAGTTTTATGTAAAAGTTTTCGATTGTTACTATATTTATCAATTATATATTTTGATAATTAACTATATTTATCTCATTATTGTCCGGAGTGAAGCAGTGTCGTACCTCCGCTTTCGCAATCATGATTGGTTGATTACCATAA